TTGAGTTTTAAAATATATATATTTTTTAATTTTAAAATATTATTCCTTTGTTTTTAGTAAACTTTTTAAATATTTTAATCAACCTTTTATTTTTTAGATCCACTTAATTTAGATACATTTAAAAAGTAAATTATTTGCAAAAAAACTTTAAAAAAATAATAAAAACAAAAAAAATATGTACTGAATTTTTATTTTTTTATATGCTTTTTAAGTGTATCTAAATTAAGTGAATCCAAAAAAAAAAAATAATTAGAACATTAAAAATGTTCACTAACACAAAAGAATATGGGTTGAAATTTTCAAAAATTATTTTTCAAAACTCAAAACCATGTATGCCGTTTAAGTGTATTTAAATTAAATAAATCTAAAAAATGTAAAATAATAATTAAAATATTAAAAATATTCACTAAAAAAATATACAAACTCACCTTTTCGTCGCCTAATTTATAATGATAATGGTAACAATGGAAGAGTAGGTTGGATCTTTTATTTTTATTTTTTTAAATGTGTATTGAGAATTTTCATATAAAATATGTGTATTAAGAAAATCTAGTTTTAAGGTTTGATATATGTGTTGATAGACATATTAGTTATTTTGTTTAGTGGTAAAATTGTAAAAAAAACTTTATTCATTAATGCACTGAGGATGTGCGAAAATAATAGCCAATCTTTCCAATTCATATTCATTTTTATTTGGGATGATCTAAATAAGTGCACTTTTTGACTTTTTATGAAATATGGGTTGGATTTGGGTTGGATTTGAAGTGATGTGTTAAAGAAGTGATGTGACTTAAATAAAATGATGTGACTTAAACAGAATAGTAACTTTTTGACTTTTTAACTTTTTTAAAACTTGCCAAACCAGCCCTAAATATTACTTTAGTGATCTGATGGTGCTACGGAAAAAGACCGTCGTTCAACGAATAAAAATTACTCTACGAATGGTAGGTTGATCTTCCTCAAAAATGGCAGAGTCGAGACGAGTACTAGACTTCATTGTTGAAGAAATGCCGATCAGACTAAGTTTGATTTCTTCAACACTAGTACTTGATCTCCGAAGAATACAAGCGAAACATAACAAACACAACGAAAAATTAATCAAACTAAACTCACTCAATAACTTTGATTCGAAAATTTAGCTAGGTTTTGCTTTGAGAGAGCAAATCCAGAGGTCATATGTAACAGGCTTTTGGAGAGACTTTTAGAGAGAGAAAGAAAGAGAGACCATGAACAGAGTGCTAGAGAGAGAGAGAGAGAGAGAGAATGTGTGTTATCTCCCTCCTTGGATACCGGCTGGAGATAGAGTGAAAGTACTGCTGAGATTATTCTCTCGTTGGTTAGTTTGTTTTGTTTTTTTCTTTTTTTTTTTATATTCAATTTTTTTTTCAGATTAATTACATCAACACCCCCATAGGGGAGTCTAATTGGATCTATTGGCCCCGTTTGGTGTAGCTGTTAAAATAGCTTATAGATTATAGCTTATAGATTATAGCTTAACAGATTATAGATTATGACTTTAATCAGAAGTTGTTAATTTGTTTGGTGTAGCTGTTAGATTACAGATTTAAGTTACTGAGTAGTGTTTGTTAAATAAGTTGTGAAATAACTTTTCAATTAATTTTTATTTTTTGTTATTTACTACTTGTCTACATTTCTCATAAAAAATAATAATAATAATCTATAGTCCATTTGGGTCTTTTTTTATTTTTTTCAAAAATAAAAACTAAAAAAATCTAAGAGTATAACTATAAATTAGCATGTCCACAGCAGAAGCTGATAATCAGAAGCAAGGGGTAAGCAGCTTCTCAGAATGAGCTTTTTTGAGTTAAAATAAGCTGTTAGAATCAGAAGCTGTTTGAAATAAATTTAACCAAATAGTGTAAAATAACTTTTTCAAAGCTAAAAGCTATAAGTTAGCTTTCAAAAGCTGAAACAAACACCCCCATTATTCGACTGGTTGAATGACTGTTTAAAAATTTTATCACAAAAAAATGTTATTAGTTATAAATTTTAGTGATAATTTAAAAAAATTATCAAAAAAGAGTTATTAATTTTCAAATTTTAGCAACAATTTAAAAAATTCGTTACAAAAAAATATTATTAATTGTAAGTTTTAGTAAGAATTTATAAAAATTATGACAAAAAAGTCACTTTTAGTAATATATACAAAAAATTATTATAAAAAATTATTTTTAATTACGATTTTACTAAAATTTATTTTTGATAAAATTTTATTAAATTTAAATCAAACTATTAGAACATATTAATAATTTATCTTATCTCATAATTATTACGAATAAAGATATCATTTTATTCTTTTTATTTATGAACTCTTACATATTAATCATTTCATTATAAGAATTATAGAAATATAATATTCTTTTAGGAGTTGGTCTAAGGAATTAAAAATGTAAATAACAGATAAAATAATATTTGTTGATGGTTAAAAAAAATTATGTACTAATTAAATTTTTTTTTTAGAAGAGATTAAAAAAAAGTGAAAAAGGACGAGGAGTAATTTAGGGAATTGAAGTTAAAAGGACGAAACGACAAAAGAGCAACAGATTCTGGTGGATCACAGCGGTGATTTTGAATGTAAAATTACGAAAATACCCGCACTTTTGGAGCAAAAGTAGAGAACCTGATTAGGTACGAAATGATAGTGTGTGGTTAAGAGTAGTTGACGCTAATTGCGCACGGACTGAACGCCTGTTGGTTATGCAAATGCCAAATGGGAATCCCAGTAATCCCGTGAGTTATTTATTAGTTATTTATTCCGTAAAAAATTTTATCGCCTCGTTTGGAATAAACTTTTTTAATAATTTTTTAATTTTTTAATTAAAATGTGATGTAAAAAAATTAAGTTTAAGATGACTCTTTAATTTTTTACGAAAAAATATATAAAAAGTAGAGAGAAAAATGAATCTTTGACTTTTTAGTATAGATTGTTGACTTTTTAATTTTTTTGATAATTTTTTTTAACTTTTTTCTAAAAAAATCACTTGCCAAACGAGGCCTATATTTATAATATTTTTTTAAAAAAAAATGTTTGACTAAAAGTCTCTCATTTGTCTCCTTTAAAATAAAAAAGATAAATTATAAACACATCTCCTGAAGTTACTTAAATTATAAATTATTCTTGTGATTTTAGAAATTACATTATATCTCTTAAAGTTTTTAATTTCATAACAAATTGTCATTTTCTTAATGAATCATCAAGTTAATTAAAAGTTTTTAATAATGTTAAAATTTTATTTCAATTACTAATTCAGACAATTTTATTATTGTATAGGTGAACAGTTAGAAATTTTACTTTTTTAATTAGTTCTGTTAAATAAAAAATTTTGACAAGGAGATATTTATAATTTTCTAAACTATAAGAGACAATTTATATTTTAAGCAAACTTTAAAAGATGTATTTGTAATTTATCCAAACAAAAAGGACAATCTAAATTTTTTTAATTTGTAAATCTCTTGGAGAACAAACACCTCTTTCGTCAAAACCAAACAAATTTATTTCTATTATTTTATAGACAATCATATCTTTTGCCGTTTGGTAACACTTATATTTTCAATTTTTTGTTTATATTTACAAAAAATTTAAAAACTCAAATAAAAACTTGTTTGGTAAAATTTTTGATTTATAAATCAGTGGTCTCAGTTTATAAATTTGGCCAAAAAATGAAAACACAAAAAATGTGATTCCATTTTGAGTTTTCAGTTTTTCTTTTTTTTTTACCACCCAACACTAGCCACTACCCACCACCATTTTCCACCACCGTCTTCCGCCTCCGCCACCACCACCACTACCGCCACCACCACCTCACCTCTTATCCACCACCTTCACCACTACTGCCGCTCCCTCTCATCTACCACAAAAATTAGCTCTTGATTTTTAGTAGCAAAAAAAAAATGGGTCACAAAAAAAATTATTCATTGAACATAAAAAATTAACGAAAAATATTTTTCATTAAAATATTACC